AACTGATCTAGATAATAATACAAGTATTTCTAAATATTATATATAGAAGTATAATCAGTACAGCATGTAACTAAATAGATAATATTATGTATTTAACTCTAAGTCCCAGTATAGTTATTATAATGATAGGATATTCTCATACTAGTATAAAGTAATAAGACATTTATGTAGCCCTCTCTACAGAGATACAAGGCATGTGACTGAGAAGTTTTTACTGAGTAATATGAAAAGAGCTCTACTCTATAAAATAAGACTTAGTTGGTATAAATTGGTAAGTTAGTTATAGTACGGCAACATTAATAAAGTCTATGTACTATCACTTCTAGAGATATAAAAAGTAACATACAGGTTTTCTTAGCTCCTATAAACAAGAATTATCTAAAGACTTATTTACAATTAGATACAATGATAAACAGATCTTACAATCAGCAAGAGGAGTTATCTTTATTATCCAATCTAAGCTCTACATATAAGATATATTGATATGTCCTATAATTAAGCTAATAACTTTACCTAGATTGAAAGCAGGAGAGTTTGTACTTCTGAGGTACTAAATTATTATTATAGTAGGTACATAGTTAGTAACAGACTAGATGTAGCCTGCAACCACTCAGATGTAGAATATAAATATTGAGGTGCCTTCCTAGCTTTAAAGACATCCTCCGTCTCCGCTACACCTCCGGCGATTGAAAACTCAACACCACGGTTTTCATCGTGAGTTTTTTGTTTCATCGCGAAACATCCTCCACCCTCCTGCCCACTCCTGCCTTTAGCCTCGGCCTAGGGGAGTCTGGCTCTTCTCTCCTCTCACACCCGGGATATTGACTTCGGTCTATCATCGCAGGGCCCTCTCTCTCCTTGGGGGTTGGTTGGTCGGAGGTCCTCCTTGGCTGGCTGGCAGGTGGTGGGATCCCTTCCACTATAGTGACGCTATCTCTCCCAGAACAAGGGACTACATGAGAGACGTGGTAAAATACCTGCTATGCTTTGCCCAGGCAGCCGTTGATGATCTTTCTTGCTCCCCCTTTCTCCTCCCCCCACGCGTGGTGGGGAGTCCTCTCCTCTTCCTGAGTTGGGCTCGCTTAGCCTCCTCACGGTAGGCAACCCCTTAACCACCATCGTCAGATGGCTGGGACTACAGTTGCAGTAGGGGAGAACAGCCAACAGGCTACGGTCGATCTCTCCATTCTCTTGTTCCCCTAAGAGGCTACCTAGTCAGACACGAACGCGATACTGATAGACGATGTTTAAGGTCTTTGGGTCTACCCCTCCACTCTCCTCTCCCTATGGTCAGATCGGCTGGCACCCTACTGCTACACCTTCCCCTCCCCCTGGTTATCGCCTACAGCCGGCTGGTCTCCTCCTTCCCTCCATGGTATTGCACTGTCTCCTTGGAGTGGGTCTGGGGGGGGCCCCTTATCTTAGCGCGCTTCATACGTCGCTTCCCGCTTGAATGAATGGACTCGCCCCTCGGGGCCTACGTGGCTTACTACTAACCTTTCTTTTGTCTTTTTAGGATTTCTCAGCGGGTTTTCCTGGCCCTTCCTGCTTTCTTCTTAGTTAGGATTTTCTTGTTCGTCCCTCTAGCTGGACTTGGGTTTCTTTTCCTTGAGGCGAGATGTGCGGTTGGCTCCATACCAGAGGGGCTTGGGGGGTTGGCTTTTTCCTGTGGTGAGAGGAGGGATAGGGGTTTTTTGTTGTCATAGCTAGCGCTCTATACGTTTTTTGTACCCTAAACAAATAATTAATGAGTCAAAACAAAAAAAAAAAAATTCTAGCTTTAAAGACATCCTCTGTCTTCACTACACTTCTAGTAATTGAAATCTTAATACCACAGTTACTATTGTAGCTTTCATCGTCCAGTACTACTATCCCTTACATCTTCCTCCATCTAGCCTCAGCTACAGGAGGTGGGCTCACTTTCCCTCTACCTTGAGGTCTTTATTTATTTATTGACTCTCTTGGTTCTATCCTTGGTTGGGGTCCTTCATCCTTACGATATTTCTCTCCTTCCTTCTCCATCTTACCTAAGCATTAGCATAGTCGGTAACCCTTTTTCCACATTCAACAAATGGCCAAACCTATAGTTTGTAGTAGGAGAGAACAGCTTACAGGTTACTGTTGATCTCTCCACTCCCTCACTTTCCTGAGACGCTGCCAAGTCAGATATGAACATGATTACTGATAGTTGTTGTTCACAAAATTGAGTCTACTCCTCCTCTCCTCCTCTCCTCCTCTCTATAGTCAGATCGGCTAGCATCCTACTATTACATCCTCTTCGGTGTCTATCCCAGAGGGTACACAGTCACTGGCATACTTGCCACACACCTCCTCTTCTAGCTTCTCGGTCACCACCTTTAGGATGGTTACCCTTATACCCTTTATGCCCAGGACTTTGGCCTCCTTCTCATAGCCCTTATCATATGACCTGGAGGTTCTAGTCTGTCTAGTTTTGAGTTGTGATCATTGACCCTTTAGGGTTCAGTTTGGGTTTCTGCCCTCAAATGTTTCGTTCTTGGGGTTGGGGCGAATTCTTAGTTTACTGTTGGGCAGTTAGCTTTCTTTTTTCGCTTGGTGGTAGGGGTTATTGGGTAAAGCAGTTTATAGGAAGGATTTCAGGTATGAGTAGTTTTTTCTACCCCAGAAGGTTCTTTTAGCTCTGTCATTCAGCCTGGTCCAGGGGGGGGGTGGTTTTTTAAATATCATAACTAGTACTTCATATGCCTTTTTGTCCTATAAACAAAAAATTTAAATAAGTCAAATAAAAAAATAAAAAATTTCTTGCTTTAAAGATATTATCATTAATCAGAGAAGAGATCTTATCAATATATTCATTCTACTTTAAACTTCTATCTTATAAGCCTTCTTAACTATCTCTAAGACAGAAAATCATTTGGCCTAGTATATACTCACTTGTCTTTAGAGTTACCTGCTCTCTTATACTGAAGTCCTAATATACTATATACATATAAATAGGAAACAAGTAGCACAACTTTCTCAGAATTAGAAGCTCTCTAACATCTAAAATTTCAATATAACCCTAATTTCCCTTAAGGATTTAGAGGGAAAAATTTACAATACTATTGAAGAAAAAATAGTATAGGTAAAAGAGTAATGGTAAGTAAGGTAGGACAAATAACAAATAACTTTAGTTTTGTATATTTTTACAGATAGAGTTCCTCATATATCTTCGATGATTATTTTTCATATTATTATAGATCTATAATTATATACTAAAAGGTAATCTTATAATTCTTAAGTTTTAGTTAAGTCTGAGTTCAATTCTATAGCATATATGACTAATAGCATATTTGAGTAACACATTTCAAATCACCTATCACTAGTACTTGGTACTCAACCTATACTTTTTACTTAAATTTAATAGATGCTTGTAGGACTCCAACTATCCTTTAACTTATTGCTTTAAAATAATACTAACATTATATCTTTCCTGAGTCTTACAGACTGTAGTACTAGTCTTATATAGCCTCTAAATATCTTCATAAATAAGACTAGAATTAATTATACAGCTCTTAAGACACCAAAAACTGTAGGGCCCTGTCTCCATTCTCTGCTCTACCTATCCTCTCACATTTGGCTTGAAACAAGGCATATAATAATACCTCTGACTTTATTCTCCCTCCATCTAGTACAGGACTCTGCCCTGCCAAATTCCTTATATGGAGTCCTACTACTGCTCCTATGTAATTGTAGAGCCAAAAGCATGGTTTTCTAATAACCCCTATATAAAAAAGTATGGCAAGGAAATAGGAGTAGGAATACATCCTATTCCAGTAGCAGAGTAGAAAGTAAAGGTGAAAACCTGTCCCGCCCTGCTCCAAAGCAAATCCTAAACAATCCTTTAAAGAAAATTCTATATAATTCACCTTATAAGGAATACCTTATTGACAATATATTTTATAGCTTTCACATAAAAAAAAACTGCTCTAATCCAGAATTCATTTTCTAAGATTGACTTATCACATTCTATTAATAGAAGTACCAATAGTAAGAGTGAAATCAAGAAACATAATTCAGTTTGTATATTTACAATCTGAATAAAATTTGAAGTCCCTTCAGGTTCCTTATCATGGTTTACAATTAACATTTATATTCTACTATTTTGTGATTACAAGACTTGAGTATCCCTTAGCAGATTGCCTTAACTTTACCTACCACATTGTATAACAGTTCAGCCTGCATTTTAATAATTTCCTATAGTAGATTTTAGTAGTAAATACAGTACTCATCCAACCATCTGCTATCTACTCTCAGTTGGTACTCAAATTCGATAAGTGCAACAATGATTTAATATACTTAGCCAGCAGTTGATGTTCTACCCTAGGATAGTTCTGAATAAACCTTGTCTGAAAAAATAGGATTTATGGAGGGGAAATTCCCAAATGTCAACGTAAATTCAGAATGATACTGGAAACTCATTATATGGTGAGTCAGGGTTCAGATTATAATTCAGAACCTAGTCTTCTATTGTGCCAGGATGTTCCTCTATATTACACTGGCAGTGCACATTGTGAACCCTGGTAAGCGGGTGGAGACACTAAGACTTGTACTTTGTACGCTCAGGGTTACGATAAGTGAGCTACTATTAGAGTGCATCCTCTATGGGTATACTGGCTCTGGCCCGATATGTTGTGGGCTCCGGGGGGTGGGTTCGTATTAAGTATGGCAGTCAGCCAGGTGGCAGGAAGGAATAGTGGGCGATCACGGCATATCACTCAGTAGCAATAAAAGGAGGAACTGTTACTACATGATATACAATCACCTCACCGGATCTGGAAAGTGCTTCAGTGTCGCTCTGCCAGTGCCCTGCAGAATGCACGAACACACCAGTATTGAAACCCAAACCCGTGGTATAGTCCACCATGAAAATGTAAATTCTTGGGAACGAAAATACAAGTAGAAATCGCAACCCACCACCCTGGAGAACGCTCCTCCCTCTAAACCCTAAAGCCCCTTCTCCAGTGGCAAACATATCTCCCATTATTTGCACTATTTTTACTCCCTTCATAAGTTCTTTCCTTATACTATTCCGTCTTTCTTCTTTCTTTTTACTTTTTTCCCCCGCTCTCCTCCCTTATTTTTTCTTCTTTATTTAAAGAAAAAAAACTTACCTAAAACCAACCTACCGAGTGACCACCAATGAAGATAAACCTTCCCAACCACTAACCGGGTAACTCAACCGCCCGATAAACTCATCTGTCCCCACCCCCCCACCATAACTTACAACCAAAATCTCACGTCAAACACCCCACCATCGAACCGAAAAAGAAAAAGAAAAAAACACAAATGTCAAAAAATTGAAATGCCCTTCGCACAACTAGTGATAGGCCCCCCCGGCTCCGGCAAATCCACCTACTGCAACGGCATGCACCAATTCATGTCGGCCATTGGGCGGAAATGCTCGATCGTGAACCTGGACCCGGCAAACGAGAAGACGACGTATCCGTGCGCGCTAGACGTCCGCGAGCTGATCACGCTAGAGGAGGTCATGGATGAGGAAGGATTGGGGCCGAACGGCGGGATTATGTACGCGCTCGAGGAGTTGGAAGGGAATATGGAGTGGTTGGAGGGAGGGTTGAGTCGGTTGGGTCGTGAGTTTTGTTTCTTTGTCCCTTTGTTTCTTTGTTTCTTTGTTGCAAGGGAGATTAGTTGTGTGGCGGGGCTAACGTAAGAGAGAGGAGCGCAGAGGATTATGTCCTGTTTGACTGTCCGGGGCAGGTAGAGCTCTTCACGCACCATGCTAGTCTTAGGAATATTTTCCTGAAGATACAGAAGTTGGGGTATAGAGTCCGTTTCTCTCTCTCTCCCTATCTCTCTTCCCTCCATTGAGACATTTCTGATAGCTCTTCTTGCTAAGATAGTGAATAAATAGCTAGTGGTGATACATCTAGTAGATTCCCATTACTGCGCCGACCCATCAAAATACATCTCCGTCCTCCTCCTTTGCCTCCGTTCAATGCTTCAGCTAGACCTCCCACATATCAACGTTCTTTCAAAAATCGACCTGCTAAACCAGTATGGCCCGCTAGCTTTCAACCTTGATTTCTATACGGAGGTGCAGGACCTGACACACATGCTACCCTTACTGGAGGAGGATCCGCGTTTGAAGAAATATGCCAAGCTGAATGAGGCGATCGTGGACCTTGTCGATAGCTTTGGCTTAGTTAGTTTTGAGACATTGGCGGTCGAGGATAAGCTTAGCATGACTCATATGCTACAGGCAGTTGACAGGGCCGGTGGGTATGCTTTTGGAGAAGCGGAAGGCGCTGGCGATAGTGTTTGGGCACTGGCGATGAGAGGGGGTTGGGGAGTTGGGATGTCCGCACAGGATATCCAGGAGCGGTGGATAGATAATCGGGAGGAGTACGACGAGTTTGAGAGGAAGCAAATGGAGGAGCAAGCTGCAAAAGCTAAGGCCGAGGCGGAAGCTGATGAGTTCATGTAACTTAATCACACTGTTCTAGAGTCCTGGGAGTACGGGTTTTAACGATCTATTGAAGGGGGGTACGAAGCGGGGGGACCCATATTAATTGTGTAATCGTATTGATAACTCCATCATACCCCCACAAGTTTCATGGTACCCATACCCATTCCTATCCCACGTGTGCCCCCTTTCAACAGAATTCTAAGTCAAAGAAAATTCCCACCTATTCCCCAAACAACCTCTTCACTCTACGTAGCACGCTGTCCTTCTCCGGGTCGTACGGGTGATCTTTAGACGGGATTTCCAAGACGGCCGGGAACGCGGCGGTGTATGTGTCGACCCTGTAGCGAATCTTCTCTGCAACCTGTTATTTGGCCCTCGATCAGCTTCCCCACTCCCTGCCGTCACCAGCCTACACCCCCAAGATCCATACGTGTTGATTGATCAACAAAATCCCAATATCCTTCCTACCGACAAACTCGTCGAAAGCTTTCTCAATCTTATCCGTCTCGGTCTTCGCGTCGACGACGAGGAAGTTCTTGGTGACGTTCGGTGGAGCCGTCACATGACCGACGCCCGCGAGCAACAAGCCGGTAACGGAGTCCTGTTACGATATCATCAGTGCCTAATGTCCAGATAAAGGAGAAGAAAGGGTGATAGTAAACCCACCTCATCACCAATAACAGCTATAAACTGTCGGCTTTTCGAAGCTTGAGGACCAGAAGATGAAGCCATGTTTGTGTGTTATTAATTTATCAGAGGGGTTGATTCCCAGAACTCGTTGCGACGGGAGTCAAGCCAAGCAGCGCCAAGATAACATCCTGGCGGCACCCCTCACCCATTATGGAAAAAAATGACCCCGCCATACATCGGGCGAACATGTACGAACACAAGTACAGTACCGTACATCGACAAAACGACCGCTGAATCCCATTCGACTCAAACACCCCAAAAGAGCACACCTAGAGAAAATATGGGCAGCAATTCCAAAACAAAAATGGACATCGACCCCGACTCCGACTCCGACTCAATAGAAATTACCTCCGTGCTCCTGGGCTATGCAGAGAAAGAATCCACAGGCGATACCTCCAGCCATCTCGGTGGTGAACCAGTAACGTTTCCCTTCCATTCCCACCCCTTCTTCACCCTGACTCTTTCGAATCCCTACAAGTTCACTAACTCGCTGACCATTGTGTGGTTACAGACATGGCTACACCCCAATTCACCCCCAGATCCTCGACTAGCCAAGTGCGAGCATTGCAACAAGATGATGTCGCTGATACTGCAACTCAACGGCGAAATCCCCGAGAGCCCGCACGCGAGGATGTTCTACCTGTTTGCTTGTATGACAAAGACATGTCGGCGGAGGAGGAATTATGCAAAAGTGCTTCGAGCAGTGATGCGCTCCACGGAGATGCCAAAAGAGCCTGAGCTACCTGTTAACGCCCCCAAGAAGGAAGACTTCCCAGGGTTCGAAAAGCAGGCGGTTCAACATGGGGACTTCCTTTTTGGTGGATCGTCGAAACCAGCTGCTCGATCGAACCCGTTCTCACTGGGATCTACGGCGAGTAACTCAAACCCTTTCTCCACACAGTCCGCAGCGAATAACGCAAACCCCTTCTCTTCATCTATTACCACCCCAAATCCACCTTCCTCACCCCCGGCACAAAAATCACCACATGCAGCTCCACAAACCGGCACAGAGTCCTTAACAAAGTCCTTCGCCGAAACCCTCAAACTCGCCGAAGGTGGTCTCCCTTCCCACGAAACTGGAAACACCCGGTACTTCGGCCCTGCCGAACCCTGGCCTGAGAAACTCCCCCATGAATACCCCCTCTTCTACCTAGACGCCGAATACGAAGCTATAGAGAAAACCATCGGCTTGAAAGCCCACCAACTCAAGAAGTACGAAAGATTAATCTCTCAGGCCGAAAACGATGATGACGAAAAAGAAGGCGAGCCTGGCCAGGGCAGTAACACCCCTTCCAATGATCAGATTGACGACGACGTATTCCAGAGATTCGCCGACCGGATAGCGAACAATCCCGAGCAGGTGCTGCGGTACGAGCGTGGGGGCGCCCCGTTGTTCTACGCGGTGTCGGACGATGTTGGGAGGCTGCTGAATCCGAACGATGAGGGATTCCTAGCTACGCGGATACCCAAGTGCGGAAATTGTGGAGGCTCTGTGAGGGTGTTTGAGTTTCAAATCACGCCTCACGCCATCGCTGTTCTTGAGGGTGATGAGGCAGGTTTCGACGGGATGGATTGGGGGACTATCATGGCTTTCACTTGTAAATGCGTGCCAAAGGTTCTGGACAGGAACGGGGTTGGGTATGTTGAGGAGTATGTTTCCGTGCAGTGGGAGAAACAGAGGTAGCCCGACAAACCTGTCGTAACAAATTAAAAAATAAAATAAAAATTGGAGATCTGCGATGCTGGGATTGATATATAAAACCCGCTCAAAAATTCACACAAATGTTGATTAACCGTATTGTGTACCATACCTTATCCCTCAGAGCTGGTATTCATAACCATAACTCGATTTTTTTTATACCCTTTGAAAAGAAACGCATCCCCTCTCTCCTTCGCCACAGGGCCAGAAACAAAATTGCAAAGAATAAAAAAAAAAGGAAACCCCCCCCTCCACAGCATTCCGTCCATCCAGAAGCAGTCTAAAAGCCCCTCCCACCACCTCTCCCACCTCGCCCCCTCCCACCACGTCCACCGCCCCTCCCACCGCCTCTGCCCCCACCCCCACCGCCCCTTCCACCCCTAACCTTATCACTCTCCTTCCTCGCCTTATTCTTCGGCTTCGGCGCATCATCAATCAAGAGGGTATCCAGCGGCAACGAGTCCGGAAGGATAAAGTAGCGGATGGTAGCGCCACGGATGTTGATAGTGTCAAGGCTGACAGGGTCGCGATTGCGAATGGTCATCTTCACCGTACGCAGGGAAGTGTTCATCTTGACATCGACCGAGAGGATAGTGCCGTGCAGGATTGTGCCTGAAAGGGAATGGAAGGAAAAAAGAAAAAAAACCCCCCCGTTAGTGAGTGCTGGTAGTAAGTGGACAAGGGGGGGCAAAAAATAAAAATAAAAAACCATTCTTGAGCTCGACTGTGACGGTTTCGTTTTGACATTTCATCAAGAAACTACACGGGAGAGAGAGAGAGTAAGTATTATCAGTTATGCTACCGTTGAGTTGAATTGATGATTGCCCGGAAACGTACCGGACTAGCTTCATTATTGCGGCGGTGTCTAGCGGTGAATTTCCTGTTATATAACTTATGTGCCCTGTGTGTAGGCAGGTAGGCAGGCAGGTAGGTAGGTATAGAACGATGGGTAAGAAAAAGCGTTGTTGCAATCCCCAATCTTGAACCGGTGCGCAGAAGGGATGGATGGATGGATGAGTGAGTGAGTGAGTGGTTGCTGTCCGTCTGTTGTCGTTCGTTTCCTTTGCCGTATGTTTTAAGTGTTACCCTGCCCTACCGGGACACTACCGTATCGTACCGGTAAGGTTGCCGTAGGTTAACTTAGACTAACCCTGGATTTCACATGTGTGATGATCTTATCAGATTGGATCCAAACCCTACCGTTTATGATGACAATTTAATTTTACCGTAACCTATGATACTCGTTGTCTTGGAGAAACGAGGGGGAAGATTCAGGAAGAGCCGCAATGTTTAATGACGTCAATGGGTTCTTTTGTGCGTGTCAGCGCGTCAATCGATTGGGTTCTCTAGCTATCATACGGCACTCGTATGATACACAGTTCATAACTTGGCCATGGAGGGCTTCTGTCCCTAGGAAAAGGAAATGGAAATTCCGGCCAATCTGTGCTGGAAATCCCATTCACGGTTTTCCTGGGTTGGCGGGGGGTTTGGGAGAGTAGGAACATACTCGAGCACTCGAGTACATACCAGACCAGAAGTTTCTATATCCGATACTCTAGTATCGGTATCTATCATATCTTTTCTTATCATCACTTCCTCCCTCCTCCTCCTCCTCCTCCTTCCAAATATCACAACCTCTCAACTCCTCATTCACCATCGACGACACCTACTATCACTCGGCCTAAATCCCAGGACCACACTCCACTCCCACCCCCCCGAGGAAAAAAAAAAAAAGGATAAAAGATGGCACAAATCTTCCCAACACTCCTCCGCCGCTATAACGCAACCTTCTCCGCGCGCCCGCTCCTAACAATGACAGTAACAAACTCCCTCCTATTCGCGATAGCGGACACAACCGCCCAAACGGTGACCTACCTCCGCTACCCGCTGCCCCCCTCCGAAGCCACCTCCTCCTCCGGGAAGCCGCCCTTCGACTGGAACCGCCTCGTCCGCTTCGTGGGCTGGGGATGCATCGTCGCGCCGTTCCAGTTCAAGTGGTTCCGCTTCCTCTCCCGGAGGTATCCCATCCCCGGTGAGCGGGGGGTGGGGGTGATGGGAGAGCTCGTGAAGAGGGTGGGACTCGATCAGGCTGTCTTTGCGCCGGTTGGGCTTGCGGGTTTCTTCGCTTGGATGACGGTTAGTGAGGGGGGTGGGTGGCGGGATGTCATGAGGAGGCTTGAGGAGGTTTATCTCGGGGCTTTGTGAGTTCTCTCCTTTTCGGCAAATGGCCTTGTGGTGTTTCGGTATGGCTGGTTGAGCTAATGCAGATTCTTACGGACAGGCGATCGAATTATATTCTCTGGCCAGCCGTCCAGATGGTTAACTTCAGGCTTATTCCATTGAGGTTTCAATTGCCGTTCGCCTCCAGTTGGGGAATTCTCTGGGGGGCATACTTGAGCTTGGTGAACTCCGCCGCGGAAGGAGCTTGAGCTGGCTGTTTTTCTTTTTCTTTTTTCTTTTTGAGGGCTTTGGCATATTGCACTGTTGGCGAATGCATTAGAGGGTGCTTCATTTCATTTACCGGGAGAGCGGGGCAAGTTGTAATCATGGCAGATGGGAAGGATACAGCGTATTGCGCCATAATGTAGAAGGACTTAATTTTGACCGTAATGAACAAATATGGGTATGCATCATCCCGCATCATTCGTCTCCAAATCCGGCCTTCCCCAATCCCATAAACAATCAAGGTATTACTCCTCCCGCCATAACGAACACAAATCATAAACCCAAAACTAGGCACCGCTTCTAAAGACACTCCCACCACCGCTCCTGAACTGTATGGTTTCCCTCCGACTCATGATCACCAATGCTCTGCTCAGCGCCGCCTCCGAGTAGCCCTTATTAACGCATAGCTCCCTTTTGAGAGTGGCGAGACTTGTGCTCCAGCCAATCGGCAAACGTCTCCTCAGCTCTGCTTCAACCTTGTTAATCTCCTCCATCAACTCACTGCTGGTTGCAGCGCCCTGTCCGACTGCATCCATTGTAGACGCCAAGAATAGACGGATAGCCTCATCAACATGGTCTTCTGTGGCAATGGGTGACAAGCTAAGCTTTGCAAGCGATTCGGTGATACGAATGATAGCCTCCAATTGCCTGACCGTGATAGGAATACTGGAGCGTTCATTTGCGTCCACTTCTGCCTGGTGGACCCGCTTTCGAATAGATACAAAGTGAGAAGATAACTTCTCGGCTGCTTCTGGGGAAAGTCGGGGTGCGCATCGAGTCTTGCAGTAGGTGATATAACGCTTCATCTTGGCTACGCTGATATCTCCCGTTTCCTCTTCACCTTGAGGAAGCTGATTCATATGCAGGCCCATGATGTGCTTTGCCATGGTGGCGTCTCGTTCGGGGTTGTGATCGTCTTTGACAATGAATATCATGTCGAATCTGGAAAGAATGGTTGTCTGGAAATCGATGTTCTCGCCAGGGCTCTTCATGTCATCATATCGTCCGAAGATCGGATTTGCTGCAGCTAGTACCGAGGTTCGAGCATTGAGAATTGTAGTGATTCCTGCCTTGGCGATAGAAATGGTTTGCTGTTCCATAGCCTCGTGGATAGCTACTCGATCCTCGTCTCGCATTTTATCGAACTCATCGATACAGACCGCACCACCGTCCGCAAGGACCATAGCTCCTCCTTCCAGGTAGAATTCGCGGGTATTGTTATCGCGCTGAACGGAAGCTGTTAAACCGGCTGCTGAAGACCCCTTCCCAGAGGTGTAAATTGCTATAGGAGACACCTTTTCCACAAATTTGAGCAATTGGGATTTGGCTGTACCGGGATCTCCCAGTAATAGGACGTTAATGTCACCACGGAGCTTCATTCCATCTGGAAGAATCTTCTTGGAGCCACCGAGAAGTAAACATGCAATAGCTTTCTTGATATCGGCGTTACCGTAAATCGACGGGGCAATCGAGTTGGCGAACATCTCGTAGAGATTGGGATTCCGAGAGAGCTCTAAAAACTCTTGCTCCTCCTCTTCCGTAAACGATGCATTCCCAGCTGCGCTGGCATCAACATCGGATTGAATGCCTACAACACGAATATACGGATTTCGAATAGCAACCGCCGCCGCCGGACCCTTCCCACCTTTAGATTGGTAGATTGAGAAAACGCCCATAACAGTGCAACGGGACCCAGGAACTACCTTATTGGCGAGGTATCTATCTGCGCTAACAAGGATGTGGCGAGGGAGCTCACCAACGGGCACCATATCCGGGGCCTCTTGGAGCTTTAATACCTGTTGGTCTATGAAAGTAGACCCCTCATGGACAACAAAAAATGGATCCAGGCTGCACTTCTGAGCCTCCTCCCCTTGTACCTGTTGCCTATCGCAAACTCGAGGTAAAGAGATCCCCTGGAACCCCCCGCCCACAGGTATTTTCTTAGTGTTACTACAATCGCGGCACATTATGCTTAGGACGGTAGCTTTCGATGATAACGTTGAAGCGCCGATAACTATACCCGGTATCCGGACAAGCTTAGAGATGTACGAGGCATTGAGATCACGGATAGAGATCATGTTGGCAGTTGAATGGAGGATCAATTGGCATTCTGGGAACCCGCGAGATGAATCAGCACCAGGAAAGAACATGCGTTTGGCACACTCCTTTATGGCAATTTCAAACTTGAGAAAAATTAGCAAAATACAAGGGAGCAAACAGGAGCAATGGGAGACAAACAATAGGAATAATCTCAGCGGGTTCATTAGCAAGTCTATGAGCAAGCTCTTCGTTGAAGGAGATCAAGTGGGCCATGTCGACATCGAGCATGTATTTCTTGATGAGTACATTCGTTCGTAGGACATCTCTAAACCTAGCGCATTAGAAACCGTCTTCAGATGTGAAGTTCGGATGATCCAAACTCACCTATAGATGAAATTGTTGTCCAAGCGGAACTCCAGTATAAAGGAGCGGAAGGCACGCTGGACTTCACCTGGCTGATCATCTGGTTGACTGTCATCTTTTGGAAGACCAGTATCGATAGTGAAGACAGAAGAACGATCCATAGTGGGGATTGATAGGAAAGAGTGGGGGAAGGTAGTTGAACTCGGTTGAGAGGAAGACAATGGAGGGGGGAGTAACGCAGCACGGCAAACGGTGTGGACCAAACAAACCAAAAAATTTAAATTTCGCGTTCAACGCGTCTCCAACCCCAAACTCACTTAAACTACCAAAAAGGGGCTGACTGCTTGGATCCAAGTCCATGTCACCCTCTTTGCTGACATAATACTGTCACAGCCAACTTGGCATTGATGAGAGTGACAGGGATGTCACACTTCCTCAATGGTGCTGACAGGCCGGAGAAGGAGCTGTGCCTGCCTTCAACAGCCCTGTGAAAGAATTCCCCCAACCAAAATACAACCAGTCTAATAGCCATCTTTGGTCTTTCCTTTTGTTCTCTATCTTTTGCCCCACGCTCTCTCCCCTTCTTAATATAACTTCATACCCTCCAGAATGTCCTCGCCCACCCCTTCCCGTCGTCACTCCGGAGACTCCTCTGTCCTTCTCTCACCAATTCTCTCTCCAACCGCTTCCCAAACAGATCTTACCGCCGCCGCATATCCCCCTCGAGCTAGCAGGCCCCCGAAGGGACGGAGAGGCTCTACTGCAAGTTCTATTATCTCTTTAAACTCTTCCCTCGGAACAGTTGTCGACTGGCGAGCCCCCAAGGATTATGATGGAGGAGCCGGAGGTGGTGGAAGTGCTAGCAGCACCTGTATGTCTCTATTTCCTACTCGCCCGCCATCTGCCCACCAAGACCTCCCCCCTGCCCCCTCCCCTCCCTCCCCAATGAAATGGGCCCGCCGGAAAGCTGAAGCCTGAGCCAAATCCCGCGCTGCGGTCTATATACATTTCAACTAGCAATTTCTTCCCTTCTCGAGACCCCGCAATCCCGCGCTTCCGCCGCGTCACGACCGAAGCCTGGCGAAATTCCACCGGTAACCCTAACGAGTATTCCTAAAATCAAACTAAGCGAATTCGCTCCCTACCTGAGAATATCCGGAGAATACGAGAAGTATCGGAGGGCAAAGGACATGGGATTGGAGGAGCACATCCGGCTGGCGAGCGTGAATCAGCCGAAACACCAACCTGTATCACCATCACCGAGTGTAGCCGATCTGGCGGTAGCTGGTGGAGAGAGTGGATTGTTACAGAATGCTGGGGGTGGAGGGGATACTTCATCTGCCAATAGCTCTCCTAGGAGAAGGAGGGCCAGGAAAGGAAGCTTAGCAGCGACCCCACTGTCAACGGTTCCGACCGTCTACTTTGACGAAAACTTTCAGCTTGAGAATCCCCGTACGTTCGATGTCGTCAGTGAGCGATCCGATGTCATCCGTCCTGCACCCACCAATTCAGCTGAGGGGCCCGTGCTATCATCTGGAGCCTCGGTGTCCTCACTCAACTCGCAACGGAGGGCGCTGGCGACAAATGCGATCCTACAAGAGAAGCTATCATGGTACATGGACACAGTGGAAGTTCACTTGATATCTTCCATCTCAACAGCAAGCTCCTCTTTCTTCGCAGCTTTAGGAGATCTCCGTGAATTACATTCGGAGGCTACAGCTAGCGTTCAAAAGATCCAAGGCTTACGGAAGGAGCTGGTCACATTGGATGAGGAACAGGCCGTAAAGGGACTGGAGATTGTTCGATTGCGACGTCGAAGAGACAATATAGCAAGGCTAGAAGGGGCAGTCAAACAGACGGAGCGGGTTCTGCAATCATTCCAAAGCGCCGAAAGGGCACTGGTCGACAATGAGGTTGATGTTGCTCTGGCAGGCGTCGCAGAAACTGATAGACTGATATGTGGAAGGGGTCAGGAGGGATTACTAGACCTCCGTCCTGTGCGAGCCCTTGAAGCTGTCAGCGCTGATCTAGCTCATCTCCGTTGGCGTATAGGCAAAGCGTTTGAAGCCCGATTTGTAGAAGGTCTGCTCACGGACCTTCGGAAGCATGTGGAGCGAGTGCCGCCCGCTGAGACTCTAAGACGCTTTGCCCAAAGCTTCCAGAGGGAGCAATATCAAAGATTTGTTTCCGCGAGGCAACGAGACAGTCTTCAACCACCCCCACGTTCATCAAGCCTACCCCCGGAATACACTCAACTCTCAGATAGCTTGCGATCTCAACTCATGCGACATCTTAACGGCCTGCAGCGCGCGAAGCACGTCAATGAAGCAGTTCAGGCATATAGAGATGCAGTTATCAAAGAAGCCAAAAGCCTAATACGAAGAAACATGCCAAACGGTGATGACAACGAAAGTGCAATGTCCGGCATGACTAACTCTCGCTCTGGCGGTATCCGAACAAGCAGCCAAGATAAATCCTTGTTACTCGCTCGTTCACTGCGCTCACTTGGCCCTGCCGATTCTGAAGACTTACTCGTGAAAATCTACACAAGTGTATCAGAACTCGTTCGTCGACTGGGCACTCAGCAAAAGATGCTCCTAGACGTAACAATGCGCATGGGAGAGACCGGCGTTGGCGGGATGCTCTCACCACGGCTTGAGCAGAATGGCTTCCACGGAGTCACGAACGGGGAGCAGAAGCCCAATGGCGGCCCAGAGCCCATCAGCATGGACATCTCAGACCTGATCAGCTCCGCAGTGGAAATAGCACAATCTCAGATCGTCAAGATCGTTAATGTCCGCAGCGAACAAGTTACCACCTACAGCACAGACTGGTTCCTGCGATACTTCACCCTCAACCGATTATTCACCCAAGAGTGCGAGGCAGTCAGCGTCCGTGTTGGTAGTGGACTGCAGAACGCTGTCAGCGCTCAGATTCGTGAATTCCTGAACTTGTGGCAGCGTGAGCGAATCCGCATGTTGGCGGAATGCCTCGAGAAGGATAAATGGGCGCCGCGCGAATTCGAAGATGAACGGCAGAAGGGCGTCCATAGAATAATGGAGGCAGCAACCCACGACCCGGAGGTTTGGGTGCGTGCAGGCCGGATTTGGGAATTGCGGGATGAGGAAGATAATACTGCACCTCCACCTATGAATACAACTGCTACTGCTGGTGATTCTACTGCAGTTGCCAACGGTAACGGCACCGAAGCTAACGGCGTCAAAGCGCCAGCACCCGGGAAACCCCACGCGGTTGTCGACAACCAGAAATTTATCCTCCCGGAAAGTGGAATAATGGTATTAAAAGAACTAGAAGGCTACCTGAAGCTCCTAATAGTAATTCCCGGTATGGCAACAGATATTGCCAACAATCTCCTCTCATTCCTAAAAGTATTCCCCCTCCTCCGGAACTCACAAAAGCAAAAAGTACTAACGAACCCAACAAAAAGCTCCACAACTCCCGAACCTACCAACTTATCCTCGGCGCTGGTGCCACTAAAACCGCCGGCCTAAAGTCCATAACGACAAAGCACCTAGCCATGGCTTCGCAGGGCCTAAGCATAATCACCTCGCTGCTGCCCTACCTGCGAGAGACGGTGCGGCGGCGAACGCCGCAATCCCCGACACTACAAGACTTTGACAAAGTGAAGCGCACCTACCAGCAATACCAATCCGAAATCCACACAAAACTGATCAGTATCATGTCCGAGCGCGTAAAGGTGCATGTGCTAAACCTTAAAGCGCAGGATTGGGATGCTGCGAGGGTTGGCGAGGAAGCAGGAGGGAAGTATTACATGGAAACGCTCTGCAAGGAGACTACAGTCCTGCACAAAGTCCTCTCGAAGCACCTGCCCAGGGAGACACTAGTCGGGATCATGACTCCAGTGTTTGAAGACTACCGGGCCAGGCTCGAAGATGGGTTTCGGGACGTGGTTGTTCGTAGCCAGGGTGCTAAAGAGCGGTTTGTTCTCTCATACCCCATCAACACACTTCTATCACACGTGCTAACGCGGAAATAGCATGACCCAAGACGCCCAAATGTTCATCGACCGTCTATCCAAGTTGGACGGGTACTCCGGTTCCGGTGACGCGATCCTGCAAATCGCCCAGTCAAAAGTGGTAGTCGGTAGGAGCTCCACTCCAGCCATTAGTACCAGCAGCAACAACAGTGGTGGTTCCTAGTGGCTGTTCTCCCTCCCCCCTCCCCCCCTTGCCTTTTTCATTCTTGTTGCCTACTCGTTTGTTTCTATCTCTTTCACTCGTAGATGGCGTTTGTATAGCATACTCTCTCTCTCTTTCTTCCCCTCTGTTGCGCTTTTGCCACATTCTTGTTTTTTTGCTTGCTTCTTTCCCCTTCCTTCTTTTTTAGTTTCCTAGATGGGTTAGGGATATGGTGTAGTTTTACTGTAGTCTATGGTGTGGTGAAAACGGGATGGGCGGATGGATGGACGGGTAAATGTTGGAAGGTGTTGTCGATAAACGAATCAATCATATCACAAAAACCATCAAAATGATACGATAGTACTCTCTCATTCAATTTTTTTTCTTTTCTTCCCTCTTGTAGATTATCTGTATTGCATCTCTGTAATTGCGTTCATAAGTATCTTGACAACTGGACCATATATAGCAACCAGGAACTTCTATCTTTATGTAATTATTATCCTCCAAGTGGCCGCCGAGACTGAAGCATTGCCGACAAAAAAGAGCAGCCGGAGAGAAAGAAAAAAGAAAAATATTTGTTTCCCCAAAAGTGTAGTAGTGACAAAAAAGAAGGGGGGGCACACAGAAGCACAAGGGAAAACTAAAAAAAGGAAATGTACAAGAAGTTGATATAAAACCCTAGAGCGTGACCAAAGTATATAGAAGTTTGAGAACGCAGATCATACTCGCCTGTACTAAACATAGGGCACGTAAACCCCCCTGGCTCCTTCTTTTGCACGCCCCGCCCACCAATCTCTAAACCCATTCCGTAATCAGATGAAGACATAAACACCACCCATTATTTCTTTTTATGAACCCCCCCCCCCCCCGCAAGGCATTATGTCGCAAGAATATTCCAGCACAACTATTACATCATCTCATCAGCACCAAACTCCCCGTACACACATCCCCCGCCCCCGTTGTCAAATAGTATCTACCGCTACTGAGGCAGCTTATGCCTTTCGAGACCTGACGCTCCCGTTGGTCCTCAGGACATTGCCATTGGTGGCATGTCCATTGGTGTATCCATTGCCACCCCCGTTAGCAACACTACCCAAGGTTTCCCGGGTGAACTTGGGGTCAACAGCAATGCTGCCATTGGCAACAGCCTTCTTAGCAGCACGCTTACTACCCTTCCGGTAGGTGGAAAAGTAGAAGCTGATGAAAAGGACGAGGTACGATGAAAGGATGCCGCAGCCAGCGAAGGCAGCAAATTCCTCACCAGCACACTTTCCCATGTTGGTAATGTGAGGCCAGTAGGTAGAGGTGAAGTAAGTGTAAGAGGCAAAGTAAACGAATCCTATGGCAGGGATGTCAGAACCAGACGCGAACCGCACCAAAGGCGGTAAACGAGAGCATACCGAGGTCAATAACGAATTGGATAATCTGAAGACGGGTGATCCACTGCTTCCACCAAACCTGAACGCCACGAGCAGCCTGGAAGTAGTACCAATACATAACGACATGGACGAACAAATTCAAAGTGATGGGAACCCAAGACTAAATCACATGTCAACATTCAAACACCCAACCCAGCCCCACAGCGGCGAGGACGGGTGCACTTACAACGGCAGTGCTCCCAATAAGTTGAGTGTAGCAAAGAAGAGCAGTAGCACCATGGTGGTAGCAGTGCAAGAAGGCTAACAACCAGTCAGCTCACCCTCAAAGCGGGTCAATCGAACAGAGGATCTCGCATACTCAAAGGCTTCTTCTTGACAACGAGGAAAACAGTGTCGAGAAGTTCGAAATATTTCGTGAGGTAGTTCAGCTAAAACACGCACGTCCCGGTTAGCCCCAATCGGATCACATCCCAACCGCAAGGGGGGCTCAGCCGTGCGAGATCACGTAGTCAGGGGAACACACGTAATATAACACAACCATAGGCTGCGTCCAGCCACCAGCACCATTACAAATTCCGTAAAACAAACCATGATTGTACAAGGTGGGAGTCAACTGCTCGATAAACAAGGCCAACAGTATCCCCGACGCAGTCGTCAAGAAGAGATTGTGGAGTTGGAAAAGGGTCCGTAATCTCACGGCCCCAAAATTCGACATGACAAGCCTCCCACCAAAGATAATTGCATAGTAGGCGATAATCAAGCTCGCACTCTCCCTAAACGTCGAGATAGGGGTGACCTCGCGGACAAAACGGAAGTCATCCGCGGGATATCCCACAACCTTTCCAAACAGCGCGTTGAATATCGGCCAGAGGTGTACACCAAACGGCCTATCAATGCTGGGCTTCCGAATGTCGACCACCTTCAGGATATCCATGACTGCTGCTTCCATTGAGACGCGAATTAAACGGATAACACTATTATTATTCGGGGGCGCAGCGAGAAGTGTAAAGGAGCGTATAAAGGAGCGTGAGAGAGCGTTGCTCGAAGGACGACGGTGACGCTTCCGCTGGCACGGGGGGGTGTGTTCAAGGAGGAAGGGGGGCGGAATAGGAGAGGGCAGTGGGCGAGGGAGGGGGACGGGGGCAGAAGGAGCAGAGGGAAAGAGGGAGCGAGAGGGAGAAAAATTATCACGAGGGGGGGGGGTCAGCAAAAATAAAGGGAAGGAGGCCGGCACAGGAAAGGGGTGGGAGGGATGGGGACAGAATGACAAACCAGGGGAGGGAAGGGCAGAAAGGGCAGTACGGTAGGTTACCGTACTGCATAGAGTAGATTCAATCACGATTCACAGTGCCAGTAGCAAGCTCTTGGTCCGAGGCTCTTTTCGCTTTACGGCATTGTGCTCGCACGCACTGCGTAGGCAGAACACTTCCACTCACTCGCAAATTATGGTCGGGGAAAAGAGGAAGCGATGCGGCCTCCCATTCGCTGAGCGGACAATCATTTCAACAGCCTCTCTCCATGAGGAGGAAATTTGGGGAGGGTAAGGTGAACACGTGAAAAATGTAAATAAGGAACCGCCTCTCCTCCAGGCAACAGCAACCCGACCCAAGGGAGAGCAACCAAGCCACGCGCCCAGGCCGAGACCGAGAAGGTGCTTGGCGAATCTTGACACCATCATGCCCAATACTCGAGTATGATACGGTAGCCAAGCCGTGACAATCACGCCCAAGAACGGCCACGATACGAGAAACGCGGTACGATGATTTGAAGTACGGTAGTCTACCCGTGAAGAACAATTGACATTCGGTAAGCCCCCGCCGGAGCAAGCCCAATTACTCTATCGGCAAGCCCAATTACTCTATCGGAGTGATGTGATCCTATCGGTCGCCCTGACCCGAGCACTGTATCGAGCCAGGCCTTTCTCATAAGGCAACTGGTAAATTTAAGCTACCGTACGGTGCACCGCCTCAAGCCCAGCGCTACAGTGTATCACCTACCGGAAAATATTGAGGAAGGAAAACCTCCGGATGCCGCCCGGCCACCGGTAGTACTGGTACTCGTACTCGTACAGGACTCGGAGGGACGAGGTTCCAGTCCATGTTAATACGACACATTATACCCTGTGCAACCTCAAAGCCCTCTGAAGCCAAGAAAATTCGTTTTCATGTTTGATAACAAAATTTACCCGTTGATCGCCTCCGCCTCTTGTGCACCGATTGGCCCCCGAAACCGCTGTCTCCTTCCCTACGAGTAAGGGTTCTTCCACGGGTGGATATCGGGAAACAGCTATACAAGCAACCCTCCTAAGCAGGCCATGGGAAATTCCCGTGAGCCATGGCTCTCAGGTCAAATGTCCTTGCGAAACCAGCACTCGGCAGTGTTGGGAGACGACAAAAACCCAACACCGCAATCCCTTTCAGCGAGATGCGATGTAGCTGATTGGGCACCGGTCAAGGTCCGGGGCAGAGTACCGGTAGGCAGATTACGGGTAGAGAGAGGTGTCTACCATCCAGAATGCAAGTGGGCGATGGGACGGTTGTCGGTTTTCCGAAAGGGATTTCTCCGGGCCGTGGAGAATGAAGATTATCGTTCCTGACCCCGGCATGATAAATTTACTCCATCATCCGAATCCAACCTCAACACCAGGAAGTGAGGTATCACCTTTCCCAGTTGAGCAGTGGTCCGGGCGGAACAGCTTTAACCAAAAGTACCATCTCCAATATAGACTACCGGTAACCAACAGCGACCGCACTTCACTGGGGGTCGAACATGATATCATAACTTTGCTGCGAAAAAGGAAAACACCCACACAAAATCAGCTACAACAAAGAGGGCCTGGGAATATACCGGTAGTGCGAAAGACTCTAGGAGTGGACCTTGAGCGGAGAAACCAAAGGTTCAAGCCCGGCTTTACATTAAACCGTTAGAGCCTCTCTCGGCTAGGGCCAATAGCCGATTGAAAGATTTGTGTACCGTACCCAAGCACAGAGTTTACCCACTCACCCTCTCAGGATTCTTGAACCACGGAGACATTGAGAGGGGCTCCGGATGTGGGGTAAAACGAGCTTCTGAACCAACCGGATTGCTAGGATTTGGCTCTGGATGCGAAATCGCAAAGCCCATAGACTTAATCCGAGAAAAGCAAAAGGAAAATCCCGGAAACTCGGCCGCCATCCGACAAGCCCCAGACGAATAGATCGGCGTTCCTGAAACTACGTCACGACCGCGCACGTCCCGTCACCTCTATTTGTTTCACCTTCCTGTGTCCCGGTAAAAGAGTCGATTCAGTCGAATAATCGGGGATCAGAAAAAAAAAATTTAATACCCAAATGAACCCTACCGCATAACACAGCACGGCAAACACCAAGGTCAACCTTTTCCCCGAGAGAGGATACTTCCAAGGAAGCGGAAAACGAAAGTTTTAGTGCTCTCGTCGGTCGGTTGTCGAATTCAATCCCACTTCCCATCTCCCTCTTCCCCTTCGCCCCACCCTCCGCTTCACCACTCGCCTGCCTGCCTGCCCACCAAACTACCCACTTACGCCAATTACCGGCCAATCCAATTTGATCCCCTCCTTCCCTTCCTTCCTCCACGCACCATCGCACACATCGAATAAAATAGATAAAAAAAATCTCCACTCAATTCTTTTTTTCCCCTCTGTTTACAAATGGCATTTACATCATTCCTTCGCTTGGCTGCAAGACAGCCCCTCCTAAGGACGTCGGCTACCCTGCCCAGGCTCGTTGCGGTGGTGCCGAGGGTTCAGGCCAAGACTTCTCTGAGGTTTTACAGCGAGGGACATGAGGAGAGTTTTGAGGAGTTTACTGCTAGGTTGGTTTATGCTCTTCCCCTCCCCCACCACCACCTCTTCTATTCCCACTATATCTACCGCGTCCATTGATTTCGTTGCTTGGGTGGATGGATACGATGAATTGGATTGTCACTTGTTTGTTTGTTTTGCTATTCGGTTTCGATGCGAAGTTTTCTGGTGGTGAGTTTGAGGTCTGACATCAGACAACGGGTTGGTGGATGGGGGGGTCGCTGTTCGGTGAGGTGGGGGTGGTATGGTGCGGCGGAGGAAACGGAGGGACGGACCATGCAGATGACGATCCCAAAAGCGTACTGACGTATTCTTTCCCAGGTACGAAAAGGAATTCGAGAACGTCAATGACGTCTTCGAGCTTCAGGTATAACAAAACCATCATCCATCCATCCATCCCCCTCTTGCACAGGGTAGCACCCGATATCTCTACCATCACAAATGAATAACCAACGGACCCCAGCGCAACCTAAACAATGCCTTTGCCTATGACCTTGTACCGTCCCCCTCCGTCATCGTCGCTGCGCTCAAGGCCGCCAGAAGGGTCAACGACTTCCCCACCGCCGTGAGAATCTTCGAGGGCAGGCTTCCCCCTACCCATCCAACCCCAGCTCGCCAGCGCTAACGATCGAGCACAGGCATCAAAGCCAAAGTTGAAAACAAGCAACAATACCAACAATACCTCGACGAGCTCAAGGATCTCCGAGAGGAACTCGGCGTCGCGCTCGTTGAGGATCTATACCCGGAGAATAAATAAACATTAAGGTTTCCTCAATTGGAGGTTCCCCACACACACACAGAGAGAGAGAGAGAGATAATATCTTTTTTTATTTTTTTTTGCTTTTACTTCTGCTTTTTCGATAAACAGAGATACTGAATAAAGGAAAAGGAAAAAAAAAAAACAAAGAGGGGGGGGATCACGGACGTCCTTGTTATGAGCTTTGCATTTTATTTTATTTTTTCGAACGTCGATACGTCGATGGGGTCATTGTATGCATTCACGTGCGGGATGGGGAGGGGGAAAGGTGCAAAGGTGCAGACGGCTGGTTTGACGGGTACTCGAGTATAGATTGGGAGTAGGAGTGCGGAGTGCAGTGATTGGAATGGTGGAAACAATCCCTTCGTCTGTACGGAATTTCACTCACGTTTAGCGCTGTGATGGGCAGGCAGGACTATTACTCCGATTAGTTCAAATATCACCCATCAAAGGAATAGGCTCACTCACAGAACACTGACCTAGCCAATCAACAAGCTTGGCATTCTCCAGGTTGACGATAAACCGCTGTTTATCCCTTTTGGAGTTGGGGGGTGGACCAAAACTATTGGCTGAGGGCGGGTTGAAGGAATGTGAGGTAGAATTACCATTTCTATGGTTATGGTTCAGATGATTGTGGTTGCCCGTTCCAAAAGTATCTGTAAATCTTGGCGTTTTCTCGGCTCAAACTGTTCGGTACTGTACAGTAGGAGCGCTTTTGGAGGACCGATAGGCAAGTACTCGTACCGGTACCGTAGGATGCCGGAAGGATGCCACAATACCGTACCGGTAGTCTACCGTGACTGTATCTGGCGTGAATAGTCAGACGCAGCACTGGCACGTTCAAATAAGCCCCCGAGGTGAAACATACAATTGCGCCAGAGTGGCAGCCGCCTCTTTAGAGTTTAGCCGTGGTCTTGTAGGGTTAGGTTATGACGTTTCCCATCAGATTTCGAGACCAGATTCCAGAGTATCCTACCGGCCCGTGTAGTCTAAAACTGACGGCCCTCCTCAATAAGGTGATGCTACATGGACGCAAGTACTGTACGAGTGTATGATACGGATAACCGGAGTATGATATGATATGACAGCGTGGATTGACAATGATTGTTAACACTGTGGCTTTATCTGCACGTTTGGTATATGACATGGTAAGATATCATAGTACTCGAGTACAGTATTATAATAACGGTTGTGAGTGAGTACCGTAGTATGCGGTTAAAAAACAACTCATAATCCTCCCATCATATAAATAATACCATTGCGAGTAGAGCAGAGTAGAGTACCGTACTGTACGAGTACACTCCGGGCAAAAACAAAAAAACAGAAACAAACCAAAGGAAACGTAAAGTATCATACCCAGGTTTTTCCCATAATTTTATGTCTTATGATACTACTGTACCGGTCAGAAAGAAAGAAGGAAAGAAGGAGAGAAGGAAGGAGAGAAGGAAGGAAGGAAAAGGTTCCCTAGAAGACAAATCCCGTTTTCCTTGAAAACTGGCGATGATTACGTTACGTTAGGTCAGTAGACAGACAGACAGACAGACGTAATATACAAAAAAATATATATATACATTACGAACTTTAGTTTGCCGACGGATAGTCAGTCAAACAGAGAAAGGCGTGGATCCGACCTGGCCGGAGCTAGACAATAATACCAATGGTCTACGCATCGCAATTTACCAAATTTACAGTGCATGCCATAGTTTCGTCGCGACTTGAATGCAACATCCCATACTCGTACCGGTTATCCACGATAATTTGTCGTAAGAATTGACACGTCTTGGCGTGTGTTTCACAACACCCCATACTCTCCCCATTTACGGGGGGGGAGTTTTCGGTTTTCTATATGATGGGATCGTTGTGGTTCCTGTATAGCGGTAGCCTGAAAAAAAAAGGGGAAAGAAATTCGACCATGTAAATCTCCGGGTTGGGCTCTCTCTCATTCTTTGTTGCTACCGCGTATAACTTGGGCGCTTGTGGAAGATTGGTGGTTTGCACGGGAAACGGGGGTGGCGCGTTTCTTTTGTTGCTAGGCTCGTATCGTGTTATTGTAACTTTGTAATGTTTTTTTTTTTTTTGCGGTGACTTGCTGGGAATAACTTTGATGATAGACCTTTTTTTTTTAATTTTTTTTTAGCCATCGTATTGTTGGTGCTGGTATTGTACGAGTGTGGTGCTACAGGCGGCATATGCTATCATTATCATCGTACAGCACCGACCTTCGAGCTGGCGTTGGTTCGGGTGCCGAGTGGGATTGTGCAGTACCGGACCCAAGTACGAGGATGGATTGACGGACGGATAGCGGTATGATGATAGCATACCACGCATCGCAACTTGAGTATTCCAGAAAATGGTTTGTAAAAGAAAAAAGGTCTAAAAATACCCAGCTTATCGGTCACATGATGTGGAATTCTAATACCCTCGACAATGAGCACCGTATGATACTTTTCCCCCCTCCGCACCGGATGCAAAATCGTGCCATCATGCTTCGATACAAAAAGGATAAAAAGACGCAAGAGAAAAAAATCCCGAAAACCCAATTCATCGCCGTGGTAAAGCCTCTGGCCCCCCCCCCAAAAAAAAATCAAAAAAAAAATCAAAAGAACAAAATTTATAAAGAAAACAAGGGAAAAAAAAATGCAGACATCGGGAGTTAACAATTACAATGTGAATGACGGTGAGAGAGCTTCAATATTGGTTTTTCTTTCTTCTTAATTCATTCATTCATTCATTTCCCTCTCCAGAAATTCAACAGCTTAATCCATGTGCGCAAACTCGAACCAATTTGCTCTACAGTCTTCCTGGTCGAGACCTGTTCCGTCCGTGAATCGGCCCGCCTCGCAACCGCTGCACTTTGGCGACGAGGGGCAATTAAAGTATGGTATGTGTTGGTAACCGATATCCCGGAACCTGTAACTGTTAGACTTTGCCCCCAGAGCGATCCAAGCTCTTGCGCAGCAGATGGATCTTACCAGTGAATCTTGTTCTTGTCCTCCATTAATCCAAGGGCGATGCTGTGGACAGGCGCATCACCCCATCGCTCGTAAAAGAATCCACCGGCACGGTCCAGGTGATCAAAGTAATCCCTGTACTTCTTGCTCCTCCAAAAGTTCATGTCCGCAATCTCGAAATTACTCCAGAAATGGCAGGTCGAGTACCCAGACTTTTGATGGTGCTCTGGCCTGTTCTTGGAATCCGTCAGCCAGGCCATAGCGTGGTTCGGGTGCAAGTAGTCCGGGTTCTCGGCCAGGAACTCGAGTGTATGTGGCCATAGAGTCTCAATGGATTCGGGAGAGTCGTAGATGTTGATGACGAAACCGTAGGTTTTGTTGTTGTCCTCCATGTACTTGAACACGTCGTAATCCACATCGCAGAAGAAGCTGTTTCACGTCTTAGCAACTGGGGCCGGAAGGGATTCGGTGCGGGAACAACATACTGCACTTTGGGCTCAACACGCCAGTACCACCGGATATCCTTCAATGCAGGGTGATCGTAAAACTTTCCAGAGTTCCACCGGCACATTTGATGATAGCTCTTGAGTCCGGAGTATTGGACCTTCTTCTCTTCCAGCAGCTTGGCAGACTCTGCCATGAGATCGTTGTTGATCCAGGAAGGGATTTCCCAATGGTCCTTCGGGATAACCTCTACGCCACACGATTGAACCCACCGTCAGCCTCCATGGGGGGACAAGAGCAAAAGCAACGCTGTAGAGATAGGACGAAAGCTAACCGTATCTGCACTCGGCCTTGGTCTCCGCCTGTGTCCTCTCCCTAAACTCCTGGGAGAACTCCTCATCGTTGAAGAAGGTCCAGGGATAATTGAATTTGTGATTGAAAGTTCTCTCCAGATCCCTCATTGCGGAAACCATCCCCTCGAGCTCATTGTTCCTTACCAGCGATAGTAATGTCGCCGATATTCTATCCGCCTCGCCGGGCCCCCACAGCTTTCCTGGAGGTCCCTTCTCGGGGTTGAGTAAGGGGTCGATACCCTTTAGCGAGCCGCCGGTCTTTGGTCGGACGAATTGGCCTCCCGACCCGCCAACATGTGGGCGAGGAATTGGCGGAGATGAATAGCTGTAGAACACGAGTAGCAGCGTTGTGAGGGCCGCCAGCGAGATGAGAGCTCTCAGAATACCCTTTGTCACCATATTTTTGTGGGTGGGGGGGACGCGGAGTGGGGTGGGAGGTGTTTGTTTGGAGGAAGGGCAAGTGTAGTAGTAAGTGATAGGCGGGGAGGGAGGGTTCGCAGTAAAAGCAAGAGGGCCCGATTTAGGAAGGGGCTGTTGAGTTATGTTGGGGAGGCTGTAGGTGGGAGCGGAATGAGAGGAGGTTCACCGTCAACCTGGATGAAAAATTCTCACAGCAAGAATGGACGGACGCCAAACGAAGTGTAATTACTCCGTACTCACTTCCCTCTTCAAAGAACCGGAAAAGTGTGGTGAGTGAAGAAAAGGGGTTCCCGAAAAGCAAGTGCTCGAGGAAGAGTACTGTATTGTACGAGTGCTAGCGTACCCGGTCAACCGTGTCTATCGTTGAGATACCGTACCGTACTGCAATGGAGTGTCCGCCAAACATGACACTCTTTTGCTTTTTTTTTCCTTCTCTTTTCTCAATGCTTGGTAAGCTGTACGAGATACTGTACTCGAGTACTGTATTTGCATTCGTCCCTTCAACAACAACCACTGAGTATGGTGCGGGTGTGACTAAGGTGAGGAGGTAGGAAAAGGGAAAAAAAGGGCGTTGACAAGGGAATATATTCCAGGTTCCCAGAAAATCCCCCCTTTCAAGCATTGGGGCAGTTGCTTCCGGCATGTTCTGCTGATCCTTGGATAGGCTACGGTAGTCTAGCAGTCCTGTTCACAAATATCACGTGTTCACAAACGTCTCGCGCTTCCTAGCACCGCACACTCTTCCGAGTACCGCACTGCCATGCATACCTGGGAGATATGATATAAAAAAATACCTGTCACACCATCCTCCCCTTTCTTTCCTCCTAACTCTTTCCTGCACAAACAACACAATCTCTGTACTGTGCTGGGCATCAAACTCCCTCTGGTTGGCCCAATATGGTAGGTACTCAGTCACTTGGAAGACAGAATTCTTTCTAGCTACTTGGTAAGAATTTAATAGGTTTTTTGTCCTTTATTAAAAATTAATATAGATTGACTAGAGCTGCAGAAAAAAGAAAAAAAACATGGTTGTACTTATAGTAACTTTAATGAATTGGTTAGAGTTTGACAGACTTATACTTATACTCTAAGTACTTAAACAAGTAAGTCCTCTTCCTTTTTATTGATTCCTCCTCATTATAAGACTAACCAATTGGAGTTTTTTTCTCCTATTCTCTTATTGATAGTATTATTATCATCTGGCTATTCTGCTACTTCAAAAAGGCATTACCTTTTTCTTTTTCTTGAAAAGGTATATTTATTTACATTTTCTCACTTTGTTTTCAAGTTGTAGTATTAGCCTTATCTTTTTTCTTTTTTCCTCTCTTGATCTTCTATTATTTACTAATGATATTCTCTCTGCCTCCTGGCTCCTTGCTGCCTCTTGGCCCTTTACTATAAGAGGAAGACAGCCTTTCTATAAATAAGCTGTCTTATTAAGTACTTATATTAAGTCTATTGCTTCTTTCTTATTACTAACTATTCTTATAGACAATATCATCATCTATTTCTGCTGACCCTCTTAACCTGGATGGAGAGTTCTTTACTGCCTGCTTAGTCATCCTACTGGTAGACCAGAACAAGAACAAGTCTTTCTTCTCCTCCCTTGATATACTTGTCTTTCTGGCTATCCTTTTTTTTTAACATGTTTTTACTCTTAAATAATAGTCAGAGGATTTCTATAGTTAATACTATTGTTAAGATGGCCCATCTCACTAACAAGTACCCTAATGTCTATAGAGATTTCTATGGTAGTAGTATCATACTACTTCCAGTGTTTTCAAGTTTGGTCTAGCCTGTTATATTCCAAAGAGGTCTGAGGCCTAAGGTATTGAACATAAGGCTTCCTTAGTCTACTATTATCTTATTAGGCCTATTTGACTTATGATTAGTAAGTACATCTACCATGGCCTTGACTCTATTAGTATGGAATCAATATCTATCTGCTACTTTACCTATATTAATATTGGGAAAGTCTAGTCTTTCTACTTTCTTATTCTATTAGGGTGAAACCCTACTTCTTTTTCTATAATTTTGCTATTACCACTACTGCCATTGTCAAGGAGATCCTTACTGAGACTAACTTCTCAGCCATTGAGGTAGTCTTTGTAGAGTTACTAGCTATACATTCTTTTGCTACTAGTTTTAAGCTTCTTTTATTTAGTCTCTCATTAAGCAGAGTACCTGTCCTATGAAAGTCTTTTACCCTTACCCTTAGTCTCTCTATCTAATATTTCAAGTACCTCTACTGTGAGGGCACAGCCACTTCATATGGGTGCTGTTATGTGAAAAATGTACCAATCTCTCAACGCAACAAATATACTTCACTTCATATGCAACTTCTTGAGCATGTAGAGTACCCTCTGATAGTCTTAAAAAATATTTATCAAAGAAATTGAGCCTAGAGTAGAGCTTTAAAGTGAATATTTCGAAAAATCTGTTTTTTTTTTATTACATAGAAAAATACAGAAGATAAGAATCTATCAGGAAAATATTTCTGGCTTTGTTTTAGGAGGAGAATTCATTGTTATAGTATGTTTTGTAATTTTTATTTTTATTTCTTGATTGCAACCACAATGATAAATCTGTAGTATGAATAATAAGTGCAACAGGAGATATCAAACAATCTGATTATCCAATCTTTTTTGTAAGAATCTGATGTTATCATAGTGAAGTAGAACTTCTCAATTAGAACTTGAATTAAAGTGTATTCTTTTCTTTAAGCTCAATTAGTATAAGAAATATCACTATATTCATCCTAAACTCATGAAACAAAATTCTGTTCCCAAAGTGGATTCTTCTTTTAGTACTAGTTATATTGCTGATATGAATAACAGTGATCATGAATTCCTTTGGGAGTCTGAAGAGCTAGAGACTGATACAGAGTCAGAATTTGCGAAAACAGATTTTAGTTTACACTCAGGTAAGATAAAAAATCTTCTTATTAGTTGTAAAGTAAATTTGATATATTAATAGACAACTTGTATAGATTCTGGTGATTTTCATGAACGTATTAGACAATTTCTAAAGTCATGTTCTTGCTCCCAAAGCTGTACTTTAAAAGTTAGTACTGAGGAGTGGAAACAATGGCTTAGATTTCATGATACAGTTGATAGGAAGAAGAAAAAGCTGATGATAATATATCTTTTATCTTCTCAATTACTAGTAAGTAGTGATATTCTGTAAATACAATATAAAGTATAAAGCTAAGATTTGTAGCCAAAGGAGTTGGAACAAAAAAAGATGAAGTACTGCTTGCCATTTGTTGGCAATGTTTGTCGGGAGCTCTTTTGTGAGTTCTGGAATATGGATAGAAGAACAATTACAGCAATCTTGCATCATATTCGTACTCTTTGTATGCCAGTACTAAAAGCCCATGGTAATCATGGGAAAAGGTCACACAATCATGTGGCAGAGACTATAGTACTGGGTTTAGAAGAATATCTAAGGAGAATTAAGACAGATGAAGGTGAGTCTATTGCAACCCGTGTATTTAAGAGATGTTTGAAAAATGGTAAGATTGTAAAGTATATGGAGGTAGAACATACCACATTACTCCCCTCACATCTGTTATATCAAGTACTGTATGATTAGTATGTTAAAGAGATTAGGCATCAAAATCTGCAGCAGATTCCTTCATATGAGTACTTTTACAAGTATTGGAAAACTCATAAGGCTTTCCGCTTTATGAAGATCCGCAAGCCCTCTAAAAATACCTGTGATAAATGTGCAATACTTAAGACTAACTCTAAGCTCAAGTCAAGTATCTATCTAGAAGAAATATCTGATGGGGAAGTACAGTCTGAAGGGAGTGATAGTATGCAAGTCAATGATGCTCATTACCTAGAGCAGTTAGAAATGCATCGCCAAGAGTACAGGGCTTGCAGAAGTGAGTATGAAAATGATATCAAGATGGCAAAGGAAGATCAAGGTCAGGTTAGTTGTTATTTCTTTGACTTTCAGCAGGTAGTAGAAATTCCAAGTATTCCTCAACAGCCATCAGAGTGGTACTATTGGTCACCTTTCAAGCTATATGTCTTAGGCATTGTGAACGAAGGCACTGAACAACATTATCATACAATGCATACAGAGGGACAGCAAGGAAAAGGGGCTAATCAAGTTGTATCACTATTGCATCTGTTTTTAACATCAATTCAGAATGAGAAGTCTAAGATACGGCTATGGGCGGATAACTGTGGAGGGCAAAACAAGAACAAAACCATGTTATGGTATCTTTGCTGGTTAGTTTTAAGCCATGATCTTGATGCTATTATACTTGGATTTCAAATTAAAGGTCATACACGTAATAGTGTTGACTGAGGATTTGGAACTGTAAAGCAAAAGGCCAATAGAACGGAGGTATGGATTCCTGAACATTATGCCTTGCTAGTTGGCTCTGCAGATAAGGCTGGAAAGATTAAGGCAGTAAGACTGTTTGATGATACACCAGCAAGCATGTTTCGCAATTGGGATCAGGTTTTATCTCAATATCTTAAACCCTTGAAGGGTATCCAAAGCTTCCAATTTTTCCGATTCACTAAGGCAGCTCCAGGGATAGTTGAAGCACGTAAACTACCTGATCAACCATGGGTCAGATTTGACCTTCGTAAAAAGGACTTCTCTGTGGACTTATTTCTAACGATTTTACCACCAGCTGTTCCTGATATAGGTTTGAATGAGGAGAAGCGACATGATCTCTGGCATAAGTACTCAAAATATGTTTCTTTTGAATACTAATCTCAGTGGCTTTATTTAAAGCCAACAGTAACACTAATCTCCACAGTTAGGGAAAAGAAAAGCTTACGTGTACAATATGCAAAGAAGTCGAAAACTCAGCAAGCTGATATAACACCAGATAGTGGAAACAATGAAGAAAGTAGTACTAGTAAGTTTATACCCCAAGGGCTATACTTTATACTATACAATTAGAGAAATTATTCACTAATCAATGATTAGTTGTACAGGAAGCTAGTGGAGAACTGGAGATATACCAGAACACAGATCATCAGCATGCTACAAGTAGTCTAAAGACTACAATATCAGATACTGGATCAATAAAGCGACGTGGTCGGGGACGCCCTCCATGCTCCATGAATAAGAAGAGGAAAGGCAATTGAGACTTGTCAACTAGAGAGATACTAAGTGTATTACTTGTCTACAAAGATGTAATTTTTAATGATAATTTTTAATTACAATATTCCTTATTTTTTTTATCATAGGTTTGTACTACTATAAATTCTAAGTTTTTTGAATCTAGTTTAAGAGAAATTCAACCATTAGTAGTACTGTTATTATAAAATTTAGAGATTAAATCATTTTCCTTCTTTTTCTCAAGATTGACTTGGTTGCTATGCAAACTTTCAACCTCAATAACTCTACACTCTTTAAAATGCAACAGTACCTTTTTCGCATAACAACACCCATATTATACTTGTAAGATTGTAATATTTGTAAAATGTAACTACTATTACACAAGTGTAAAAAAGCACTCAAAGCCAAAGATTTTAGTAGTATGCAATATGGTAGTTTAATAGAA